TCTTTGCTTCAAATTACGAACATTTTTGATATTAAAAAAGTTATCTTCTACAATTTTTTGATAAAAAGTCAAAGCGGCAATGATGTTTGTTGCCATTAACAGATAGTTACAGGTGGATAGCCCTTGTTAATAATAACAATAATTTGTCAAATTGTGACTTACTTTGAATTTCCTTTCACGAATATGCGATTAGTTCAGGGGAAATGCTACAGTAACAGAGCAGAAGCTGAAAGAACTCACGCGAACAAAGGGTGAGGAGAGTGGGTGAGGAGAGTGATCCATTTTCGGGTTCCAGGCGCAGAGGAACAAGTATTGGACATAATTGCAGAAGAGCCTTTCAGGGGCACACAGAACATTGCACAACAACTGACGCTTTCCCAGGCACCAAATACATATGAAGAAGGGCTATATGCCTACCACGTTTGTAAGATACACACAGCACAAGGACAGAGTATACCATTGGATTACTGAACACTGGTACAACTTGAGCAGGAGTTAATTATCTGAATACGAGAAGCTGCTTGATAACAGTGGATAATAAGAAGATTACAGAGGCACTAACTTGTTTCGGCTTCATGACTCAAACGTATTTTTATTTGTAAACATAAATTCGAGGTTTTGAGGATATTTCGACGAACATGACAGTTGACATTTCGAAGTACGTTCCACAGTCAACGAATCCTGTTGAATTTACCGTTTGTCCTTGTCTATTTTATTGTCACTTTCGGTATAATTCCATGGTTACCGGAGATTTTAATAATTACGAAGCAACAGGTTCTACATAACGTTAGTTAGGCAGATTACCTTGAAAAACATTGTTGCCGTCTTTTTCATATAGTTTTTTGCTAATTTCTCAGGATTTAATAACAATCAATTTTTTAAACTATTTTTTCTGTACCTACTTCTAAAACACCGCCACACAACACATCCGAGGAACGACGCCAATATAGAATCACCCGGTATGTTCACATGTATAAAAAATGTTTAATAAAATTCCCAATTAGTCTGGTAGAGTTTTTTGCGACGAAAATGTGAAGTGGTTATTCGCAGATGATAGGGCCGTCGTAGCGCACACAATGACCTTTAGCTAAAATGATTTCGAAATGATTTCTCACCCGAATAACTAGACCATGGAACGAAAGCCACTAACAGAGATAATTAATCTGTGTGCAAAAGCCATTAATTCAACAGTCAAAGATAAGATCAGGGCCGAGCGCGTAACTCATAACAACATTAATGTGAAAGATTGTCAGATAAGAACTGTCAGCCGCATTTAATTTCCAGTCACTCAGCCGCCGCACTATTTTACGTTACGACAGTGTGGCTAATTGTTTCCGGTTTCGTGTAAATAAATATTGGCGCAACACTTGCTGCCCGTTTAGAGGAGGACATCGAGCTCTTTTTGCGCCCACTTGGCGATATTATTATATTATTATCCCACTTATATTCTTTTGAGGATAGTTCAAGAGTTCAAGATTTCGTTGCTTTGCATCAGGTCTGTCTATATCAACTTGGGGAATACCTGTCGTAAATTGAGACACAAATTCCCAAACGACTAACAAACAACCGGTGACATTTCGCGTTGATTTAATGCATGTGTGGGCACGAAACCGTCCACCTTTTATTAATCCGACATCGCTCATTAGCATAGAAACAACAAATAGACGTCGATTAAGCGTTGTAACATTCACTCAAATCGGCGTTAAACAATAGACGGACAAGGTGAACAATTCAATTGCTAATGGTGATTTATTCGTCCGCTCCTTCCGCGCCCCAGAGGCGCAAAAAGTTGCACTGAGGATGGCCGGTGGAGAGCGACCGAAACTTGCCGCCGGACCGCTATACAGGGTGGTTTAGCATGCAACCGGTTGACGGGAACAAATTGAGCGCAAACCGTTCGCGGGTGAAGAAATGTCGTCGATGTACACGGCCAATTATTGTTCAGACAGCGAAACAATACGTGCCTCGCACCCGGGGCTCCATTGTTGGTCGCATTAACAAACAATGGCGTTTTGTCGCCGATGCCGAGACCCCGTAAATTACGGAGAACAGTCCATGTTTCATTGAGGAGAAAACACGCGAAATTCACACAGCTTTCATGGTAAAATAATCGGAAAATCCAATGGAGTGACGAATTCAGCGACTTTAACACGCCCCGAAGGTTTGCTGCTGGTCTTGCAACGTGCAGATTTATTATTTGGGTGGTGGTTTTACGGTCAACCGTTGGATGTCGACAGGAAAAAGTCCAAACATGTTTATGCATGAAACAGTCTAATGAGAAATAACCAAAAAATGGTCTAATAAGAGCGAAACTCACCAACAAAGTGTAGACTTGAAGTCCACCTCAGCAACGGCAGGCAACATGTGTTTAAGCAGAACTCGTCCAA